TAAGTAAAATATCATCGGGCAATGTGTGTTTTAATTTGTTGAGGGCACCAACTACCTTTGATATCTTAGTTGCAATCGCATTTATATGGCAATCATAGGACAATACATCATCAAGATAGACTCCAAGAAATTTTGTTTGATTTGTACGTACAATTTCGGCACAGTTAATAGTAAGTTTTAAATTTGCATTGTCAATACTCTTATATTTACTCTTAAATATAACATAGCTTGTTTTACTTTCATTTATCTTAAGCTGATTTGCATTGAACCATTTAGAAAGTAATACAAGCTCATTGTTTAATATTTGAAAAGCCTCTTGCAAATCATTATGCTTAAAGAAAACATTTGTGTCGTCTGCAAACATGATCATCTCTATTTTTTTACATGAATACATAAGATCGTTTACATACAGCAAAAATAGCAGGGGGCCCAATATCGAGCCTTGTGGAACGCCACATCTTAGTTCCTTTCTTGCTGATGAACATCCATTTACTACGGTGTACTGTTGTCTATTACTTAGATAGTCTGTAAACCATTTCAATGTTATGCCTCTAAAACCATAATATTTAAGTTTTTCCAATAGGATAGAGTGATTTACCGAGTCAAAGGCTTTTGACAGATCTAGAAATACACCAATTGTAAAGCACTTATTTTCGATAGCATTTGTAATATGTTCTACAGTCTGAAGTAATGCTTGACAAGTCGAATGATTTTTTCGAAAACCATATTGAGATTTGTTTAAAATTGTAAATTTGTTTAGATAACACATAGTTTGATCATATACAACTCTCTCATACAATTTTGATATACATGGTAATACTGAAATCGGACGATAGTTACAAATATCCTTCACCTCTCCATTCTTATATATAGGTATAACTTTTGCAATTTTTTATTGGTTAGGATACGTTAATAATATGAGTAAGTGGTTTTATAATAGTATGAGATACAGGCTTAATGTAATTAGAATTTATTCCATCAATACCCGGTGATACGTTAGTTTTCATATTATTAACATAAACGTGAATATCATTTTCAGTTACTGGTCTAAAAAACATTGAGTTTACATAGTTACCGGTTAGAAAGGACTTTGGATTTTCACTTGGCGTATTGTCATTATTGAATGTATTAGCTAAATTTTGTCCGATGTTGATAAAATAAGAATTAAATGCTTCAGCCTGTAGCTTTGGTTCTTTTAATTCATTTTGTCCAAATTTAAATTCTTCTGGTAGAGTATTTTTACGTTTACTCCCAAGAATCTCATTTATAATATTCCAAGTTTCTTTTATATTGTGTTTATGTTTTTCAAATAGATAATATTGTTTCTTTCGCATTCTAATTGTGGATGTTAATTTATTTCGGTATATTGTGTACTTTACTTTATTATTGTCTGTTGGGGTTTTCTTATATTTTCTGTATAATTTGTCTTTAGTGGAGATTTATAAAGCTATACCTTCAGTTATCCATGGCGATTTTATTCGGTCTGCCCTAATCTTCACTTTTATTAACGGGAAACACCTGTCGATTGTCGCAGTTAAAGTATTGGCGAATAGTTGGTATGCCGTATTCGCATCATTACTATTCAATACGTTTTCCCATTGGTGCCCGCTCATCTCATGTTCAAAACGTTCAGAATGTTGTATTGAAAATTTACGTTTATATATATATTTTTTGTTCTGTTTTTTATATTTTTCAGATTTATTGATGCAAAATATGGAGAAATGGTCAGAAATATCTGATATTAATATGCCTGTTTTTATGCACGTAGGATTTATATTACAGTAGATGTTATCAATAATTGTGGCTGAGCTATCACATACCCTTGTGGGTCTATTGATTAGTGGTTGGAACGAGTTGGAGAGAATGCTGTCCACATGACACTGAATATCACTACACTTTTCATAATGTAGGAGATCTATATTAAAGTCACCTGTAAAGTATGCCTGTTTTTTTTCAATATTAATTAATTGCATCACTGATGACAGCTCCTCATTAAATTCCCTCATTCCTAATTCAGGTGGTCTGTAAATAACCCCACATATGACTGATTTATTATTTTTAATATTAATCTCAATAAAAAATGATTCAGCATTCGTAATTTTTGCCGATAGATCATCACACGATTTGTAACATAGGTTTTCAGATATATAAAATGCAACTCCACCTCCTTTTTTCAATTACCTATCTTTATGAATAAATGAATAATTGGGTAATTGATATAATTTCTAGATCAATATTTGAAAGCCATGTTTCTGTTAGAGCAATAATTATATAAATAAATATATGAGCATATTAATATATATTAATATATATATATATATATATAAATAAATATACAAATATATAAAAAAATTTAAATAATTATATGAATAAGTATATAAACATATAAATATATATATATATATATATATATAAATACATATACAAATAAATATATGAATAAAAATATAAATAAATATATAAATAATTACGGTATATATAAAATAGTAATACAGTACATATATAAATAAATATATATACACAAATAAGTATATAAAAATAAATATAAAAATAAATATATAA